TCTCTTCAATGGGACACAGATGGGAAAAGAAAGCTGACAGGGCATATATATATATGTATATACAGGTGAAACTCGAATAATTAGAATATCGTGCAAAAGTATTCACTGTGCTTAGTAAATAAGGTGAAGCTGTGTTCAATCAGATACTCAATCACGTTAAAAGGAAATAGGAAAAAAATGGATTTTTCTTGCACATTGACACTCACCCGCTCCTGATCGCTGCTCTGTAAAAAAAAACCCTGCTGGCACAAAGTTTCTTGGCTGTTTTCTGATAAGTATAAAGGTGCCCATACACCTTGCAATTATCTGCAGATTTTCTGTGGTCAGATGGAAAAAGTGCAACAGATTGGCCCAGGTGGAGATTACTCCATCCACACAGTTTAGTGTAGATGGAGGAATCTGTTGCACCTTTTCCATCTGACCACAGAAAATCTGCAGATAATTGTAAGGTGTATGGCCAGCTTAAGGCTTCATTCACACAAGAGAAAATTTGTTCAGGGTGTAGAAACATGTTGAAAGAAGTAGAAAAAAAAGTTTTTGTTTTTTTTGTCGTTGGTTGTTTTGTTACTCGCCCAAATGCTCAGTATCGGTGCATCCCTAGTTTTTATTATATACAACGCTTTAGCAAACTACATGTAATTCATTTAGGGTTTACATGTACTTTAACAGAAGTCTATTATTTTCAGTAGGAGATCTTTGTTTGGTTTTGTCCAAAGTTTTCTGACACAAACATGCATGTTCCATATTTAAGTGAGCCAACTTTCTTCACCAAACATTCAACTTAGGAGTGGTAAGAAATAATTAGTTTCTAAAGTTTAGCAGTGGAGAATCTTCCTAGTAGTACCCCACATTTAATATGGTGTTCATTGCATGGTAGTCATTGTTTGTTGACAGCTCCACAGGGCTAAAATTAGAGCTTGCATCACCACATGCAAACAGGGAGAACTACTTTCATGGTGTCCTGTTGCTCTGTGTTTACAATCATGTGGTCTGTTTTCAAGCCACACAAGCAAAATGTTGCATTATTTGATGTACTGCCTATTTTGACAACTGTGGTGGACACATCTGTCTTCATATTTTCCAAATCCAGAGACAATTTGTCTTCTCGATCCCTTTCTGGGAGAAACATGTGAGTAAGATGAAGCACATCCAAGCCTCTCTCTTATACCAACTGTAGTTAATTTACAGGTTCTAAGCAAACAAAGGAACATCATCAAAGAAATCATAATTATGAAATGCTGACAGTCTACAGCGTTGCCTTTACTGTGTATTACTGACGTTACATTTATTAATGAGGATTGTTTGACAAAGCCCTAATTCCTGTGCAGTAACTGGTGTGTTATTGCTCAGCTGCCTGATTGTCCTGGACAAAAAATCTGCAGCCTGCAGCAGATGTTATTGTAGGGCAATATATTTTTTTTATACTAAATAGAGATCAGCAGGTATTTGAATGAATGGGCAAATGTGAAAGCGCAAGTAATAGTGGAGTTTTGAGATCCACTTGCTTGTTCACATCCCCTTATGCATAAAGCAAAGGGAATCATTAATTATGTGCCCTGTCCACAGTAGCTGGTGCACTTGGAAATGTGCATATACGGATAAATTGGTAAAACTCCACTCTAATCTGCGCTATCAAATTTGCCAGGCCTGAAGCAAATTTTTTTAATCCTTTAAATATCATGTCTGCTTCAAATGAGGAAACACAACATTCTTAGTTTCAGGCTACTAAATCTAAAGAATGTTTTACAGCAAGTGTATCTTCTTGAAAATATGGTTTTAGTTTATCTGTTCTGCCCCACTAGTCCAAAAATGTTTTTTGAAAGTTTTTTTTTTTCTCTTCCGTTCATTGAAGGCCATCAGAATATCTTGACCATTGGTTTATATTGTCACCTGCAGGAGTAGGACGTACACATACCAAAAAACACAAAGCTAACCCAGGGGTGGCCCTTTGTCTGCAACAGCCCACTCAGTTTTTTGCCAAGCAATTAGGAGATAGGACCTACATTTTTTTTGCTGGGGTCTTTGGTCCAGTTTTTTTTCTTGTTTTTGTTTTTTCTTCTTCAATTAAGGTGCGGCTGAAGTTTCTGAGGACAGAGTTTCCCTTCCAACATGGAAAAGAGATGTGGGTCTCTTTAAATTGTTTCACCCGTTTATTTACTCTGCAAAGTCTCTGCCCCCGTTCCAGCCTCATTACAGTCTGCTGGTTTTCTGCCTGAGGTTTTGGGTGGCTTGCACCTCGCTTTGACTTTTGGTTCTTTTCATTGTGTGATGGATGGCTTTGTTTCACGTATAGCAAAGGCCTTGTCACGCTCTTCCGCTAATAATCATCCACCTCCTTCTTCCTCGGAAGTAGGAGAGCCTTCCGCTGCCGCAGATCTGGAATTCTCTGATAGTAAGGATGAGATACCTGTGGCAAAACTGGCTCAGCAATAGGAGTTAGTGGCTGCCCTGGTCAAGGCGGTCAAAGAGACTCTTAATTAGTGATGAGCCGAACATACCCCGTGTTCGGTTCTAACTCGAACTTTCGAACATGGAAAAAGTTCTAACTCGAACTTAGAACTCAATGCAAGTCTATGGGGGTAGAACTCAGAAAATTAAAGGTCCCCATTTTGAAGCCTTATATGCAATTTATTGGCCATAAAAAGTGTATGGGGATCCGGGTAGTGCCCTGAATGACAGGAATCAATGAAATTTAAAGCAAAAAAAAGAGAACAGACCGCGGGCATCCCATAATGTTCGGTGTTCGGCGAACGCTCGAACATGCTATGTTCGAGTCGAACATAGGTTCGACTCGAACGCGAAGCTCATCCCTACTCTTAATATCCAGAATACGCCTGACTCTTCTAAGGATCCAACTGTTCCATTTGGTACTCACAAATGCAAAAACTCATCTCGGGTCTTTCTTTACAGTTCTTTTTTTTAATGATTTTTATATATAAGGATTGGACTCTTCCTTTTAGGAGTCGTTTGTGAAGAAGCGGGCTACTCCGCCGATGGTGCATCCCCATATCTCCAGGTTTAATATTGCTACTGTCATTCTCCTTGAGGATTCCCTGCCCATTTCGGGACCCGCCAGATAGGAAGGCTATGAGTGTTACAATTTAGATATACATGGTCGCGGGTGCCATGATTAGACTGGCTCTGCCGTCTGCCTTGGTCTCGCAGATGCTGACGGAGGGACTAAGCTCTTGCATCAAGGTCTGGCGGTGAAGCAGGTTTCCCCTGTATATGTGGAGTTGGCAGACCAAATGGTTTGGGCCACAAGTATGTTTATGATGTGGCGTTGGATTCGGGACAGCTGGTCTCCTGGCTGTCTGCCTGCCTCTGTGTTGGTCTTTCAACAACTATGGCTTAAGTGTTGGACAGTGGATCAAACTTCTAAGAAGGCTTTGACTGAAGTGCCCATCGACTGTTTGTTTGGTGCTTTGTTAGACGAGATCATTAAGAATCTCAGCGGTGGTAAATTCACTTTTCTTCCACAGGTTAAGTAGGTGAGGGAGACTTGGCGGAAGTCAGGACCCTCCTTCTCGGTGCACAGGCTCATTTCACCCCTGGCAGCCCAAGTCCTCTAAGCTCACGGATAAGTCTTCCTTGGCATGAAGGCTGCCTAGCCTCGATAGACATCAAGGACACCTACCTTCATGTCCTCATTTGCTGCAGTCACTAGTGCTTCCTTTGGTTTGCAGTGGGGGAGCTTCAGTAGCAGTTTGTGGCTCTTCCCTTTGGTCTTGCCTCGGCCCCTCCAGTGTTTTCACAGGTTTTGGCACCAGTCCTGACACTTAAGACTACTGGGGATATTGATAGTTGGGTACCTGGACGATTTGCTACTTCAGGTGCCCTCCAGGCTTGATCTGGTGTTCGATCTCTCTGTAACGATTTGAACCCCTGAGGAGTTTGGCTGAATTCTGAATTTGCAGAAGTCATCTCTAGTGCTCTCTCTTCATCTGAAATAAATGAGTCTGACCTTGGATTCAGGCATGGCCAGAGTTTTTCTTCCCCAGGATAAACTGCAAAAGCTTTGTCATCATCTGCGCTTGTTACACAACCACCGGTTTAGTTACATTTGCACCTCCATGCGAGTGCTGGGTCTAATGGTGGCCTCCTTCAATGTGGTACTCTATGCTCAACACCATTCCAAGATTCTGCAGAGGAAGATTCTTGCCAAATGGTACAAGCTCCCAGGATCCTTGCACAGGACGATTCATCTTCCCATCGAGTGAGGGTGTCTTTGGCATGGTGAGTTGTTGCAGATTGGGGGTTTGGCCACCAGCAAGGCAACGCTCCTGCATTGGCTATGTGTTTGTTTGTATGCCTATTATCCTACTACTGCCGGCGATATAACCCAATGGTCAAGATATTCTGATGGCTGTGTCCAATGTACGGAGATAAAATAATTTTCTGTTAGTGCAAAAATCTTATTATTATTCCTGGGCAAACTGTCCTTTATCCAACAATACATATAGAATCACTAATGTATAACACACATAAAGCAAATCTGATGGGGTCTAGTTATATATAAAAAAAATCACATAGCTTTTCGTCCAGCAAAACTGCACGTACCTGTGTCCTGTGTGAATTAACCAGTATTCACTCATTACTGTATAAGGCTGGGGCTCTTTTGTGAACGGGGTGAAATGAAATGTTATGTTTGAGTTACAAGTTAGTGCAAATGGATACTTGCATATCATAGGTTCTGACTGTTAGCTCTGATGAGTTCAAGATTTTTTGGGAGGGCTAAACTTGATAGATCTGTGTATTTTTTTAAACAAACCATCTAATTATACCACAGTGGCTTCCTTGGAGTAGGACTTGCATTGCATTTGTATACAATAGCCAATAAGGTTTCTGGACAGAAGTTTTATTTACATTTTAGGGAAATTTGCAGAATGGTAATTGCATCCATAAGCAATAGATGACTGCGGATAATACCTAACGTTTCCTTCTCTGACAAAATTGTAGTACACTTGATATTAATAAAACATATTTATTTAATCTTTCAGGAGTTCCCTTAATTGATGGAGGAACAGTGAGATTGCCACAGTTAATTGGCCTTTCAAGAGCTCTGGATTTGATCCTCACGGGGCGGCCAGTGACGGCCCGGGAAGCATATGAGTTTGGTCTAGCAAATCGTGTGGTTCCTGATGGACAAGGTTAGTGCTGAACTTAAATTGCAGTTGAACTTTCTGTTTTTGTTTGCAAGACAAATCCTGCAAAGTAACTGGTGTGTTACTTCCTAGCTGTCTGTTTATCCTGGACGAATAATCCACAGCCTGCAGCAGATGCTATCTGTAGGGCAATATTTGTTATTATACTAAATAGAGATCAGCAGGTATTTGGATGAATGGGCAAACGTGAAAGCGCAAGTAATAGTGGAGTTTTTAGATTCACTTACTTGTGCACATCCCCTTATGCATAAAGCAAACAGAAACATTGCTTATTTTCCCTATCCACAGTACAGTAGCTTGCACACATGGAAATGTGCATATACAGATAAATTAGTGAAACTCCACTCTAATCTGTGCTATCAAATTTGCCAAGCCTGGAGCAAATTATGTATTATTCACTCACCTTTAAACATCCTATTCCTTTAAATATGCTGTCTGCTTCAAATGAGGGAAGACACAACATTCTTAGTTCCAGGTTACAAAATCTAAAGGAAGTATAGCGCAGGCATTACAGCCAGTGCATTCTCGAAAAGGTGGTTTTAGTTTATGTGTTCTGTGGATACAAGACTAAAGGCTGCTTTCCCCTGCCAGGTCCCACCATGCAGCCTGCTGTTGTGGCCCTTTGCTGTTGTGTAGATGGACTGTCAAATGCAATCTGCCAAACCTCTAGGATGAGCAGGGGAAAGGCTGCTTTCCCCTGCCAGGTCCCACCATGCAGCCTGCTGTTGTGGCCCTTTGCTGTTGTGTAGATGGACTGTCAAATGCAATCTGCCAAACCTCTAGGATGAGCGGAAATACCGGGGGCCTGAGGCTGTGGGGTCCGGTCCTGGGCACCCACTGGAATATGGGGCAGTGCAGGGTCCTACCGGGGCCCCGCACTGCCGTCGGGCTTCTCAGTAAGGGGGCGGGTCCTGTGACTCCTCTCCCGCCCGCGTTCCTAGTAACAGGCGGCATGAGAGGAGAAGTGTGTGTGTCACACGCCCTGCCCCCTGCAGTGCACACACCGAGG